TCTACTGTGTATTCTTGTCATCACTTATTATTATCTTCTGCTTCTGTTACATCCATATCATTTCTGTCCTTTATTGTGCCCATCTCTGCATGAAATGTTCCCTTGATATCTGTAATTTTCCTGAAGAGATCTTTAGTCCTTCCCATTCTATTGTTTTCCTCTATTTCTTTGCATTGATCACTGAGGAAGACTTTCTTATCTCTCCTTGCTATTCTTTGGAACTCTGCATTCAAATGGGTGTATCTTTCCTCTTCTCCTTTGCCTTTTGCTTCTCTTTTCTCAACTATTTGTAAGGTCTCCTAGACAACCATTTTGCCTTTCTGCGTATCTTTTTCTTGGGGATGGTCTCGATCCCTGCCTCCTGTACAATGTCAGGAACCTCCATCCATAGTTCTTCAGGCATTCTATCAGATCTAACCCCTTGAATCTATTTCTCACTTCCACTGTATAATCGTAAGGGGTTTAATTTAGATCATACCTGAATGCTCTAGTGGTTTTCCCTACTTTCTTTAAGTCTGAATTTGGCAATAAGGAGTTCATGATCTGAGCCACAGTTACCTCCCGGTCTTGTTTTTGCTGACTGTATAGAGTTTCTCTGACTTTGGCTGCAAAGAAAATAATCAATCTGATTTTGATGTTGACCATCTGGTGATGTCCATGTGTAGAATATTCTCTTGTGTTGTTGGAAGAGGGTGTTTGCTATGACCAGTGTGTTCCCTTGGCAAAGCTGTATTATCCTTTGCCCTGCTTCATTCTGTTCTCCAATGCCAAATTTGCCTGTTACTCCAGGTGTTTCTTGACTTCCTACTTTTGCATTCCAGTCCCCTATAATGAAAAGGACATCTTTTTTGGGGTGTTAGTTCTAGAAGGTCTTATAGGTCTTCATAGAACCTATCAACTTCAGCTTCATCAGCATTACTGGTTGGAGCACAGACTTGGAATACTGATACTGAATGGTTTGCCTTGGAAATGAACAGACACCATTCTATCGTTTTTGAGACTGCATCCAAGAACCACCTTTAGCTTGCAAGATGGTGGAGAGAAGGACATGTGCTCATCTTCTCTTGTGAGAACTCCAAAATTACAACTCACTGCTGAACAACTGTTGACAGAAGAATGTTGGATCCCACCAAAAAAAAGAACCCAAGTCCAAGGGCAAAGGAGAAGCCCCAGCAAGACAGTAGGAAGAGCAAAACTTCATTTAGAATCAAACCCCATACCTGCCAGAAATGCTCAGAGGGCTCAAACAAAACCTTGTGCACATCAGGAGACCCCACAGAGCCAGAACTGCCTTTGAGTGTTAAGAGTGTCTCCAGTGGGGGTACAGGTCAGAAACGGCCTGCAACAGGGGCAGGGGCTCTGGGTGCAGCAGACCTGGGTATGACATAAGCCCTCTTGGAGGAGGTCGCTACTAACCCCACCACAGAGCCACCAGAACTTATGCAGGACTGGGGAAACAGGCTCCTGGAGGGCACAAACAAAACCTTGTGTGCACCAGGACCCAGGAGAAAGGAGCAATGACGCCATAAGAGATTGACCCAGACTTGCCCGTGAGTGTCCAGGAGTCTCCAGCAGAGGTGTGGGTCAGCAGTGGCCTGCTGCAGGGTTCAGGGCACTGAGTGCAGCAGTGCATGCTTGGGAAATTTTGAAGGAGGTCACCATTATCTTCATTACCTCCACCACAGTTTGGCCTCAGGTGAAACGACAGGGAGGGAACATAGCCCTGCCCATCAACAGAAAATTAGATTAAAGATTTATGGAGCATGGCCCCACTCACCAGAACAAGACCCAGTTTTCCCCTCAGTCAGTCTCTCCCATCAGGGAGCTTCCATAAGCCTCTTATCTTTCTCCATCAGAGGCCAGAGAAAATGAAAACCACAATCACAGAAAACTAACCAAACTGATCACATGGACCACAGCACTGTCTAACTCAATGAAACTATGAGCCATGCCATGTAGGGCCATCCAAGACGGACTGGTGATGGTGGAGAGTTCTGACAAAATGTGGTCCACTGGAGAAGGGAATGGCAAACCACTTCAGTATTCTTGCCTTCAGAACCCCACGAACAGTATGAAAAGGCAAAAAGACAGGACACTCAAAGATGTTCGGTAGGTGCCCAATGCTACTGGAAAACAGTGGGAAAATAACTCCAGAAAGAATGAAGAGACAGAGCCAAAGTGAAAACAACACCCAGTTGTGGATGTGACTGGTGATGGAAGTCAAATTTGATGCTGTAAAGAACAATACTGCATAGGAACCTGGAATGTTAGGTTCATGAATCAAGGTAAATTGGAAGTGGTCAAATAGGAGATGGCAAGAGTGAACATCAACATTTTAAGAATCAGTGAACTAAAATGAACTGGAATGGGTGAATTTTAACTCAGATGACCATTATGTCTACTACTGTGGGCAAGAATCCCTTAGAAGAAATGGAGTACCCCTCATAGTCAACAAAAGAGTCCAAAACGCTGAACACTTGAAATGTGGCTAATTAAAATAAGGAACTAGGACTTCCCTGGTGGCTCAGTGGTAAAGAAGCCACCTGCCAATGCAGGAGACACAGGTTAGATTCCAGGTCAAGGTAAGATCCCACATGTCATGGAGCAACTAAGCCCATGTGCCAGTATGTTCAGCTTGTGCTTTGAAGACCAGGAACTGCAACTACTGAAGCCCATGCGCCCTAGAGCCTGTGCTCTGCAATGAGAGAAGCCACCACAATGAGAAGCTGGTACACTGCAACTGGATAGTAGCTCCCGCTTGCTACAAGTAGAGCAATGAAGACCCAGCACAGCTCCGAAAATTAAATTTAAAAAAAAAAGTTACTGGATTTTTCATTTAATTCATTTAAATGTAAATAGTCATATGTTTCTAGTAGCAATCATACTAGACAGTAAAGTTCTATACCAACACTTGCTTGAATTTCTCTTCCAGTTTTTATTTCTGAACTATTTTCAAGATGCCATGAAGGCAACAACTGTAAGGCCAATACAATATTTTTATGATTTGTCTTACAGCTTTTCTCCCTGTAGGCCAAACCTCAAGACAGTGACAGACTGAGGGCTAAGACAAAATGTTTTAAGTTTCTGAAGACCCCTCATTGAAGAGGTATAATGGGACCAAGAGCATCCTATGACATAGTCACTCTGTGGACACTCCCCTAATCCCCCAATTTCTTATAAGTCTACTTGTTCAAAAGCATGTTGAGGCAATGAGGTTAATTATATGTTAATTCAGGTAATTTCAGAACATTCCAGTCCGAGAGTTCCTCATTTCCTTTAGGAAGTCTATAGACATCTAGAATAGATCTATTTCACAAATTGGTCCCAGTATTTCTCTGCAACCTAAGAGTACAAGGACTGAGGGTGTTCTGGAGCAGGTCTACCACAAGCTATAATTCAGGCTCATGTCAGATTTTACCTTTTCTGACCAACCTCCAGAAACTAAGACAGAGTGAAGATTCTCAGAATTAGCATTCCACTTCTGCTAGAAAAAGGTACGTGTAAACCTGCAAAACCTCAAGTACTTAACAGTGGCTCAAACTCTCATTGACTTCAGGTGCTATAAAATCTAGAAGGCAAAAATCTCATGACTTTAAAGTTAACATAAGAACACAATATTCAACTAAGAAATAAAAGGTAGAGTTGTGCTTGATAACTCCAAAATTTGAAAAGCTAAAGAAGAAACATTTCTTCAAGAAAGTTTTTTTTTAATGATATGCAACTTAGTATGCTTATATTTTACCTGTAGCTTCCATTAAAAAGGTCTTAAAATTACCATAATCCTGGGAAAGAAGTTGTCGTGCCTTGTAAGCCCTTCCAGGTTTTATTAGTTACCCTTTTGTTGAGGGTACATAAATAGGGAAGGAGTTCTTTTCATTTAAGGAACACTGATTAAAAGTTAAAATATTTAGCACAGTTTTATTTTTTACTTGTCTAACATGACTTTGAGTACAGATATTTAAACCTTCTTTATTTATTTGAACAGTTTTAATGTTATTTAGACGTTCTGCTACATGTTACTTTTGCACAGTTCACCGATCTGAAAATTATGTTTATGGTTGTCATGTTACATATTCAGCTTTAAAAGAGAAGGGGTGCTGGTAAGGTAACAGTCAACTTCTGGGGAATGTCTTCAACAAACATCGAAGGGCTCACATTTTTTCATGTTCCATAATAAGATTAGGGATTCAAAATACCTGAATCTCTTATTTTAAGTTGATAGATCTTTAAGTCAATAAAACTCCTTAGAAATTAGTAAACTTAAATTCACTAAAATTGTTGATGTAGAAACATTCAAATTCTGCAATAAATTCATTTCATTTTAAAAAAGATTAAATTTAGTAGGCAAATTCACATGTTCTAATTATTTAAATCAAAACACATTATCCTTTTATAGTTCTAATTCTTCCAAACCCATTCATTTAAAAGGTATAGCCACAAAACTGATGCCAAGAAAAAAGGTACCTATTTCATTTCAATTACGTATGTTGGTATGTCTCTATGGATGAGGCATTGATGTTACTTCAGATGAGGGCCTCTCCATTCATCACTGATGCTTTAACCTTACCTCTAATCAAGGAAGTTAAAGATTACACCTGCTTTTAAATGAAACTACAGACCAGGGAAGGTATCACTATGGTTGCATTATTTAAACTCTGAAATATACAGTGAAGTCATAAAGGGCAGTAAGGCAAGCAGTGCATGCCTCCCCTCCTGGCGGCAGCTTTCAAAGAAAATGACAGTCTGATCACAGCATAAACATTTTAACCAAAAAAGATATACATAGGCACATGCCTATCATTACAGCCTATTTACAGATATTTGATAGTTATTACATAAGAGAGACAATATAAGTAGCAGAAGAATATTACAAAAAGAGTAATACTATTTGCATTGTGGACAGAAATCTTAATTTTTAAACCTCATGTTAAGAAAAATATTCTTAGTAAAACCTGAGTGATAGAGCTAGCTGTACAGGTCAAGTTACCTTTTCCACCTACCTCTAAGGATTCCTTCAAGTCTACAGCAGAAACTGCATCATCCTCTTCGTCATCAGTCATTTGGTCTTGGGAACAATAGTGCGTGCTGTAAGCAGAATGCTCTTCTATTGCTTCCAGCCAGTCCTGAGATAGTCCAATGATTTAATTAAGTGAAATACACTTTTAACTAGAAACACATATTATGACAACAATCTGAAAAGCATAAAATTTACATGGAGAAAAAAAAGTATCATGGCTTCAAAAAAAAAAAAAAAAAGCAAAGCAAAATACACCCAACAACAAAGTAACGATGAAAAGAAAAAGAAAGTAACGATGCAGGTCTCTTGTTCATGACATGTCTGGATAAAAATTTTCCCAATCCTTTAAAAAACATCATCTGTAAGTTTGCGTATTCATTCATATTAATACTGAAACACATTACAAAAACAGAACAATGGGTGGAGTATTTTTCACTTAAGAATTATAGGTTCGCAACTCTGTTGAATAAGTTGTTGCATAATAATACATCTAGCAACAATTTACTAAGCTGCCATAGGCACAAGAAACTCGGATCATTTTAAGAGAGCCAAAAATAGCCTTGTTTTAACTTGTACTGTTTTAAAAAAATCAGTGATTTACAAAATGATGGAATGTTTGCCCTAAAAATACCTAACTTCTATCTCATTTCTCAGGATGAAATCTTACCCTTTTACGAAACGTTACGGCAGACATGGTTTGGACTGCTTAGTGTTCTCTGCAAGGCAAAAGTTAATCATTCTGGAAAACACATGTTTTAATTTTTATTTTATATATTTATTTTTGGCTGCATAGGCTTTTTCTCCAGCAGCAGAGCAGGGGGTACTCTCCAGCTGTGGGAGGGCCTCTCGTGGTGGCGGCTTCTCTTGTTGCAGAGCACAGGCTCTAGGGAACATGGGCTCAGTAGCTAAGGCTCCTGGGCTTCAGAGCACAGGCTCAGCAGGTGTTACATAGGATCCTGCTAGACCAGGGATCGAACCCATGTCCCCCGCACTGGTAAGCAGATTCTTATACACTACACTACTTAGGGAAAAGGGAAAGTTGCTCAGTCATGTCTGACTCTTTGCAACCCCATGGACTATACAGTCCATGGAATTCTCCAGGCCAGAATACTGAAGTGGGTAGCTGTTCCCTTCTCCAGGAGATCTTCCTAACCCAGGGATTGAACCCAGGCCTCCCACATTGCAGGCGGATTCTTTACCAGCTCAGCCACAAGGGAAGCCCAACAATATTGGAGTGGACAGCCTATCCCTTCTCCAGCAGATCTTCCCAGCCCAGGAATCAAACCGGGGTCTCCTGCATTGCAGGCAGATTCTTTACCAACTGAGCTATCAGGGAAGCCCACTACTTAGGGAAGCCCCTGGAAGACAGATCCTTTTAACTCCTTACATAATTTATAAAAAACAAGGTAAGTTTACAATACTGCCTTGATCTAAAGGAATATGGAGTCTCCATTAAATAACTACACAATGCATTTTTGTCACATCAATCCCAATTTTCTTGCTTGCCTCTATCATTCAAATTACCAGAGAGAGAGGCTGAATCTACAGTGTAATAAATCAGAACACCTGGGCTGGAGCCAGGCTCTGTCACTCGCCAGTTGCATGACTGTAAGAGGGCACTTCAACCTCACTGTCTTCAGTTTCCTCACCTATAAACTCAGGGGCGGACTGAATAATCATTTAGGCTTTTTTCTAAAACCACTAAGGGCCCCTTACTTTCACAGAAGGAAAATCTTAAAAAAAGAGAAAATACCTGCAGGTATATGTTGATATGGAATTAATTCATAAGTCAAATTTCAAAAGTTTTGTTATTATCACTCCCATTAAAAAGGCATAATCAACAAGAGGGCAGATGTTAATATTGAGCCTATTTGATATTCTTTATGTCCTTAAACATTGCTTTATGAAAGACAAATAAATCCATAAAATTACCTCTCTTGTCTGCTGAAGGCTGTTCTTGGGAACCCTGAAGCTATGAACAGTGTCATCGAAGCATTTAATAAAGAAGAGGCAGCTATCAGTGGATTTTACCTTGGATATAAAGAAGTCAGTAAGACAATACTATTCATGCCCGTAAAACAGAACCCTTAAATGATCTACACATAAAATCAACACTATTAACATGACAATAATACCCAAGTAAACATTTAAAATACTGAGAAAAAAGTGATAATGTTGGGAGTACCAAATGCACTGTAGCTTATCTACACCAAGTCTGGCTTTCATATGCTTCATTACTCAAAGTAAATACTAATAATATACACTAGGTATATAGTTTTTCCCTTATCCTATTAAATATTTAACATAGCATGCACTTGGGCTATAAAGTCCTTTAAATAGCAGAGCTCCAGTTTCTAACTCATGCCACTCTCCTGAACCTTTTGTTTGACGTGAGTATAGAAAATAAACTGCGTGTAAAAGCATGAGGAGTAGAAAAGGAAGAGCTGGAGTCTGAAAGAGGGCTGGCCGACGCGATGGGAGAGCACATCACCTTGCAACCGAGTCCAGCTTCCCAAGTGGCTCAGGTGGTAAAGAATCACCTGCAATGCAGGAGACCCAGGTTCGATCCCTGGGTTGGGAAGATACTCTGGAGAAGGGAATGGCAGTCCACTCCAGTATTCTGGCCTGGAGAGTCCCACGGACAGAGGAGTCTGGTGGGCTACAGTTCAGAGGGTAGCAAAGACTCGGACACAACTGAGTGACTAACACTTCCGATCCCCAAGACAGTTCACCTGAAGTAGCACATCCCGGGGGGAGACAAAACAGCAGTAGGGTGTACTTGGATAACAGTCTGTCTTTGGAAATTAAAAAAGCAAAGCTGGGCAGCCACAAATACTAGAGACAGTAGGGGAGTCTCCCAAAGGAAAGAGCAAGACGGGATTCCCCAACTCTGCTAACATCTCTTACTGATGTGTAGAAAATAGATTCCAAGCAGTCACTGGACACCATCCTAGCTGAATGCAGACCAGAGCTGCTGTAGGAGAAACAGAGCTTACAATCCAAACCTAGCCACGAAAGTGACCTGAAACAATGGAATAACCTTCAATGGAGAAAAATAATAGGATCCAGGATCTCTAGAACTTAACATTAGTGATACAATCCAAAAAAGTGTACCACAAGCTCAAAAGAAATCTAATTAAAAGGCAAAAAATGTCAGAATGGTTAACAGGGACCCAAAAATACACTATCTACAAGAGTTCTACAGAAAATAAATATATAGGTAGGTTGAAAGTAGATACAAAAAGAGATATTATGCAAACAGTAACCATAAAAAGGGCTGAAAGGTTATATTAATATCAAACAGAATAGATTTCAAAACAAAATGCATTATTACAGGAGATAAAGATGGCCACCACATAATGATAAAAGGGTCAATTAATCAGGAAGAGAACAATCATAAATATGTGTGTGATCAATAACAGAAATAAATAATGCTACAGATATATTTGGAGCTTAAACACCATTCTCTCAGCAATTGACACAATGAAAAAAAAAGTCAGCAAGACACAAAACATCTAAACAACAATATCAACTATCATGACTGAATGTTTATAGGACATGCCAACAAGAGCAAAATACACATTATTCTCTACTGCATTCTCCACAATAATCCATATTAGAGTCATCAAGCAAGTCTCAATAAATTTGACAAGATGGAAATCATATAGAATATGTGCAATGACCAAAATGAAACTATAAGTCAAAAACACAATCATGAAAACTCCAATTATTTGGGAATTTAACAACACACTCCCAAACATCCATTGGTTCAAAGAAGAAATCACAAAAGGAATTAGAATATATTTTGAATTGTATGGTAATTTGAATAATCTAAGCTTCAACCTTAAGAAACTACAAAATAGAGCAAATTAAGCCCAAAACACAGAGAAATTCTTTAAAACAAACGAAAATCAAAGAAATAGCAAAAGCATGAGAAAAATTTCAATGAAATCAAGAGAATGAAATCAATCATTTGGAAAAATAAAAGTGACAAAGTGCTAGGAAGATTGATCTTTGAAAAAAAGAGAAGACATAAATTACCAATATAAAAAGTGAAAGAGTGTACAACATTATCTATCACACAGACATTAAAAACACAAGGGAATAATATTACCCTAAGTTTTATAGCCAAAAGAAAATGGACAAATTCCTTGAAAGGCAAAAATTACAAACACCAACCCAGAAGAAATAGCCCTATAGCATATATTCATGTTTAGCCCTATAGCAACTGAACAAGTCAAATTTGTAATGACAGTCCTCTCCCCATACACACACACACACAAGCATCCTGGCCCATGTGACTGCACAGGCAAATTCTAGTGAGTATTTAAGGAAGCAGTAACCTAATCCTATGCAAACTCTTCTGGAAAACTGAAAAGGAACATTCTAGTTCATTATGTGAGACCAGATAATACCACAGGAGAAATACAAACACCACGGGAGAAATATAAACAAATATTCATCATGAACAAAAAAGCAAAAATTCTTAACAAAGTATTTATGAACAATATATTAAAATGGTAATATATCACAACCTCCTGAGATTTGTCCCAGAAGTGTAAGATTGATTTTAACACCCTAAAGTCTATCAATATAATCATATTAACAAAATGAGTAAAACTATATGAGCATTTTGAAGATATGGGAAAAGCATTTAATAAAGTTTAACAGATTTTCATAATGAGGACTCTCAGTTAGCTAGGAAAGGAAAAAGAACTTACTCAACCAGATTAAGGGCTTTATATGTTGAAGCCCTAATCCCCAGTGAAACTACATTTGGAGATAGGGCTTTTATAAGGTTTTATAAAGGGTAATTAAGGTAAAATGAGATCATAAGGGTGGGACCCTAGCCCAGTATGACTGATGTCCTTACAAGGAGAGAAAGAGGAAGCAGGGATGCCTGCACACAGAGGAACAGGCATGTGAGGACAGAGCAAGAAGGCTGCCACCTACAAGCCAAGGAGAAATGCCTCAGGAGAAACAGATGCCTCAATGTCAGAGCTAAAACTATAAAACTCTTATAAGAAAACATGGGAAGAAAGCTTCATGGCACTGGACTTGGAAGTGGTTTCCTGGATGTGATATCAACAGTCCAAGTGACAAAAGAAAAAAAACATAAATTAGACTACACAAAAAATGAACACGTCTATGCAAAGAACATTATTAGCAGAGTGAAAAGACAACCTATGAAATTGTAGAAAATATTGCAAATATTTAAATAAAAAAATAAGTATCTAAAAAAATAAAATGTCCCTGATATGGAGATAATATCTAGAATATACAAAAAACTACAACTCAACACCAACAAGGAAACAAAAGACCTGATTAAAAAATGGGCAAGAGAACTAAACAGGCATTTCTCCAAAGACAACATACATGCGGTCAATAGTACATGAAAAGATGGTCAATATCACTAGTAATCAAGGCAATGAAAATCAAACTATAGTTAGATACCATTTCACACCTACTAGAATGGCAAAGAAACAAAACCCTCTGAAATGAGTGTTGCAGTGAGGATGTGGAGAAAGTGGAGCACTGTTGATATGAATGTAAAATGGTGCAGGTGCTATGGAAAACAGTATGCAAGTTCCCTAAAAAACTAAAAACAGAATCACCATATGCCCCACCAATTCCACACTGAGGTTTACATCCAAAAGAAATGCAAGCAGGACCTTGATGAGACATTTTCACACTCATGTTTATAGCAGCATTATTCACAACAGCCAAAAGGTAGAAACAATTCAAACATCCATTAATAGAGGAACAGATAATGTGGTCTATACGTAACAGTAGAATATTATTCAGCCTTAAGAAAAGAAATCCTGTCACATGCTATAACATGGATGAACCTTAAGGACATTATGCTAAGTGAAATAAACCTGACAAGTACTGTATAATTCCACTCAGGTGAGACATCTAAAGTAGTCAAAGCATAGAAACAAAGTAGAATGGTGGTTGCCGGGGGGGTGGGGGTATGGGAAATAGAGAGGTGCTATTACACGTGTATCAAGTTTCAGTTCTGCAAGATGAGAAAGTTCTAGAGATCTGCCGGACAACAAAGTGAATACAGTTAACACTGCTGCTGCTGCTGAGTCGCTCAGTCGTGTCCCACTCTCTGCGACCCCATGGACTGTAGCCTGCCAGGCTCCTCTGTCCATGGGGTTTCTCCAGGCAGTGGGTTGCTACTAGAGTGGGTTGCCATGCCCTCCTCCAGGGGATCTTCCCAATCCAGGAATTGAACCCAGGTCTCCCACATTGCAGGCGGTTTCTTTATCAGCTGAGCTACCAGGGAAGCCCCATAAATGCAGGCTTTAAACAGATGTTTATAGAAGAAGCAAAAACTATAAACACGGTGAGGCATAACATAGCAGGATCTAAGCAATTCTAAAGAAATTAAAGATCAGGAAATTTTAAAAGGATCAGGGGAACAACTTCTGTAATTTTTTGTTTAAAGGTAGACAAGAATGAGAAAAAACAACAACCAAAAAAAGAAAGAGAAAGAACCCAATTGAGGAAAAACCTTGGAGTTCAGTAAATGAATCAAAAGCTGGAACAGATGAGAACGGCTGGGAGGCACCAACAAAAGGGAAGATTAGATGGCTGAGGCTAGACGGCACTTCCCTGGCCCCCTGGTCCAATGCAAGGGAGAAAGAGGTGTAGGACACTAAGGGACCAGGTATGTAAGGAGGCTGGACTGCAGGGGCGGGGGACCAAGCCCGTGACACCTCTAGGGTGTGCTGCTGGTCCCCCAGCAGTGTTCACACAGAAAGGTGGGTGCTGGGGTTTTTGTTGCTTTTTTGTTTTGTTTTGTTTTTAAATGGTGCTATCAGTTTATTTTTGGCTGTGCAGCATGTGGGATCTTAGTTACCCGACCAGGGATCGAACCCACACCCTGTGCAGTAAAAGTACTGGAAATGCAGAGTCTTAGCCACTGGACCACGCAGGGAAGTCCTGAGTCCTATGCTTTAAAAAAAGGGTGCACCGCTGTGGCATGCTGACAACCCTAAAGAAACTGAAGCAGCAAGCTAACAAGAGTGTCCAGGCTCCAGTGTTAGACTAATCTCCATGGAGAAAAAACTCTTTCTCCTGGCTGGTAAAAGTAAAACAGCCAGATGGGATTATAGAGAACCTAAACATCCTGATTTTGATATAGGCTTTAAATTTAACCACCAGAAAAAGTTTCATTATCCCGATGTACCCATGTTCAAAGATACACATACATGCACATATACAGATATCTACGTGCATACACATGTGTAAATATATACACATATATATATACATACACATACAAAATGGTAAACGTTCTGTATAAATGTTTTTGGATCATGCTTCTCTTATCCCACAATACACAGACTTTTTAAAAAAGCTGATTATAGTTTTTAAATGGAATTCCACAACTTTACTTATTCTCAAGTAAAAATATATGCAGTCATCCCTCAGTATCTGTGGGCAACAGATATACCAAAATCTACAGAAGTGCAAGGCCCTTACATAAAATGGCATAGTATCTGCACACAACTCTGGCTTGCTTTAAATCACCTCCAGATTATTTATAATACCTATTACAATGTAAACACTACATAAATAGTTGCTGGTACATGGCAAATTCAAGTTTGCTTTTTGGAACTTTCTGGAATTTATTTTTTTTTCCTGTATGGTTTCGATCCACGGGTGGGGGAATCAGCAGATGCAGAAGTCACAAATAGGGAGGGCCAAACTGCACACATGCTTTCCACCCCCAAGATTTTACAAAGCAGCTCATTCCAATGACTGGACGCAATCACTCGCAGGACTGAGTTCACAGTTTAAGCGAAAGATGCGTGCATCATCCTACCGTGCACACCGCTTGAGTTAGGTGTTTGCATCCTTGGCGATAAGTATTATGGACTGCATCAGGCCTTCAAAATAAATATAAATCATCAAGGCAAAAGGAAAAGAAATTAGTGAAAAGTTTTAATCACTCAAAATGTAGGTGCTGAAACTCAAGAAGTATTAAAGATCATAATACTTACTGCTTCCTATACCATGAGAGGACTCCATGTTCTAACACTACCCAGAATAACCTCCAGCCAAAAAACCTTGAACTCTAAGGGAAAAATAACAAAGATTTTTCCAAGCTGATACATCTAGATTCAAATACTTGACTGATAAAAAGTAATTAAGTTATGATAGTTCTATCTGAGTCTTTCATCTTGACAGTACCACTGCACACTCAAAAATGATCAAAAGTTAACTGGAAACTGAGTGCAGAAATGAAAACATACCCTACAGAGTGACAGGAACAGAAGCAATGCCATACTGGTAAGATCAACAACAAACACGGTTTATAGTTCTGACAATACTGTGCTAGAATATTTATAGAAAAATGTATCAGTGGCAGGCTTCAAAGACAATTTCCTCAAAGTTCTGAAAGAGCTTATAAAAAAAGAAAATTATCCTAAATTTTATACACTACAGACATGTACATAAATATATAGAAGGAGCACTTTCAAATGCAAAAGAAACTATGTGCTCCAAAATAGTTAATTCTAGAAAATAACTGAACTCTAAAACGCAAAGAAATTTTTACAACCAGGAAGATTTTACATGTGTGCTCTGTGGCAATTTAAATATTAAATTCCTCCTGAGTCTTCTACAGATCAATGTTCATAACAAAAATGATAGTGTAATCCTATGCTTAAAAAAAAAAAAAATCCCTCCACTTTGCTCTGTACAAACTTGGCCACCTAACAGTGTCAGACCAACACAAGAGACAGTTAATTGCTACAATCACTGGATGCCTGATGAAGTCCAGCAGTATAATAATGGTTTACATTATAAGATCAAATAATTACTAAATCACATACTTCAGAAAATGATGAAAACAAATTTTAACAAGAGATCACCTAAGAAATCTTTCTTCCAGAATTATAATTAAAAATTCATTCCAACCTACCTTCCAAAGAGGACCTTCATATCGTTTCAAAGCTTTGTATACGATCTATTAAAAAAAAAAACATGTTTTTGTTAAAAGCACATCTAGGTGTTTCAAGAACTCAAAATTTTTTTTTACATATATAAATGCAATCCATTACCACATACCTTATTACCAACAAGAACATGTTTCATTTCAGCACTCTGGGCAAGATCAAGAGGCTTCTGATCTGTGTAAAATACAAGGAAGAAGGCCATCAAGTGCTTAATTCTACTATAAAACTGATGCTGCTATGATAGCATGTAGTAATCTTTCCTGTTTCATCAACTACGCCCCAAATCACCTACCTGAAGTTGCCATGTCAATTCTTTACAGCCTCTTTTTCAGTAACTATTAAGCCAGCAAATCAAACTAAACTCTGAACACTCTGGATAAGTTCTGTGATCATTCAGGCTTTCTTGCTGAAAGTCAATCTGTCAGTTTCCTAAGGTTGTTTTAACAAATTATCCCTGCAATGCAGGAGATCTAAGAGACATGAGTTCGACCCCTGGGTGGGAAGATCCCCTGGAGGAGGGCACAGCAACCCACTCCGATATTCTTGCCTGGACAGAGGAGCCTGGCAGGCTACAGTCCGTAGGGTCGGACAGAGTCGGACACAACTGAAGCAACTTAGCATGCATGTTGTGGGTTTAAACAATACAAATGATTCCCTTACAGCTGGAGAGGTCATGAATCCACACTCAGTTTCACTGGGCCAATAACCAGGTTACTGGAGGGGCTGCCATCCTCTGGAGACTCTTGGGGAACATCTCTTCCTTTGCCTTTTCCAGAGGTTGCCTACATCCCCTTGATTCATGGTCCCTCCCTCCACCTTCAAAGTGCATCATTCCAACCTCTGTTTAGATTTTTTCTCTCTCAATATTCTGATCCTCCTGCCTCCTCCCCAAAAGGAAGGACCCTCATGATTACACTGGGCCCACCTGGAGAATTCAAGATTCTCTCATTACCTCCAGATACTCAACTAACCACATCACTGGGGGAGCATTATTCAGCTCATCACAGCTGCTCTTAAGCTATCTCACTGGAGAACAGGTGGCAGAGACAACTCACAGACTAAGTCTGTGATGGTCCACAATTGAGGGCAGAAGGAAAAAGGGACCACAGAGAATGAAACCATAAGGTGTCACGGTAACTTCTCCACTTACACACACAAGCACTCTGTGTTTGGCCAAATGACAAAAACAGAATTTGTGTGTGAATTATTTAACGAGTTCTGAAGTAAGCAGAACACTATGTGAAGGATGCAAACTAAACAATCATCTCATACCCTCAAGAGTTTCCAATTCCTAGAGAAACAAAAGTGAAAGTTAGTTGCTCAGTCGAGTCCAATTCTTTGCGATCCCATGGACTATAACTCACCAGGCTGCTCTGTTCATGGAATTCTCCAGGCAAGAATACTGTAGAGGGTAGCTATTCCCATCTCCAGAGGATCATCCCCAACGAGGGACTGAACCCAGGTCTCCTGCATTGCAGGCAGATCCTTTACCATCTGAGCCACAAGGGAAGCCCAGAGAAACAAAAGATATTTACAATTAAAAAAACAAAAAAACCCAGGTCTTTGAAGAAATAACCTATCAGACTGGAACTCTATTTACACAGGAAGTGACACATTCTATCAAATAAACTTTTTATAAATACCAATCACCTGGTATGTATAGGACAATTTTTTGTAAAATTGTCTAATGAGTCTATTATGTGACAATATTTCAGGCACTGGGGATTCAGTAGTGAACAGGACAGAAAAAAAAATTGGGGGGGGGGTGTGATATAGAAAAAGGGAAAGACAGACAAATTAATAAAATAGGATACAGCAAATAATAACACAAGCCATGACAAACCCAGACAGCATACTTAAAAGCAGAGACATCACTTTGCTGACAAAGGTCTGTAAACTCAAAGCTATGGTTTTTCCAGGTGTCAAGTATGGCTGTGAGAGTTGGACTATAAAGAAGGCTAAGTGTCGAAGAACTGATGCTTTTGAACTCTGGTGCTGGAGAAGACTCTTGAGAGTCCCTTGGACAGCAAGGAGATCAAACCAATCAATCCTTAAGGAAATCAATCCTGAATATTCATTGGAAGGAGTGACGCTGAAGCTCCAACACTTTGGCCACCTGATGCGAAGAGCCAACTGATTGGAAAGACTGATGCTGGGAGAGACTGAGGGCAGGAGGAGGCGGCGGCCGAGGAGGATGAGATGGTTGGATGGCATCACTGACTCAATGGACATGAGTTTGAGCAAACTCCAGGAGACAGTGAAGGTGAGAGGAGCCTGGAGTGCTGCACATCATCAGGCGGCAAAGAGTCAGACACAACTCAGCAACTAAACAACCACCACCCAGGCTATGCCAACATTTTTAAGTGAATGTTCTGAAAAAGAATGACTGAGATGCCACTCCAGATTGGAGACTAGAAGACTGATGGGGAAAGTCTTTCTGAGGGAGGATGTTGAAACTGAAAGGGTCCAGCCTCATGAGAAAACAGGGGAAAGACCCTGCAAGCAGAGACAACTACTGATGCAAAGGCCCTGAGGTAGAACAGTTAGGTGGGCAAGAGAGGCAGAGGGAAAGAGAAGTCACATCCTGTAAGGGCTTGCTGGGAGGTCAGACCTTGGTGAACCAGTACAAGGACTCTGGGTTTTATCCTAAATATGATGGAAAGCCACAGAAAGGCTTTGGGTAAAAGAATAACATGATCTGACTTATGTTTCAAACTCTGTCAAAGTGTGTTTAAAGAACTTTTCAAGAATATTTCGGGAAATGTGGACTTTAGCTATTTGATGATTTTTGAGAAATTATAAAATTATTAATAGGATAATGCCATCATGGTTATTTTTTTAATAGCTCTATTGAGAGACTTCACACACCATACAATTTACTCATTTAGAGTGTACAATTCAATGGTTTTTAGTATATTCACAGAGTTGTGTAACTATCACATGATTCTTTTTTTTCTTTCACATGATTCTTTTTTAAAGGAGACCATATCTTATACAAAAGAATTTAAGTATTTATAGACAAAATAATATGACACCTGGTGAGTGGATTATTAATAATGCCTGAGAGAGGATAATTTGTACATCAATTATACTTTTAAGCTCTGATAATTTCTGTAATAATAAAAAAAATCACTACAGTGCCTGTGTGGGAAAAGCTTGTAAATGTGGGCAAGAGAAAAGCAAGGATACAAGTTACAAAGCAATAGCAAAGGTCCAGGTAAAAGATACTGGTCACATACAAACAGCTCATGCAGCTCAACATTTAATAAAAAAAAAAAAAGCCCAGTCAAAAAATGGGTGGAAGATCTAAATAGACATTTCTCATAGGACAAGAGGCACATGAAAAGATGTTCAAAATCAGAGAAATGAAAATGAAAACTATAAGATATCTCACACTGGTCAGAATGGCCATTATCATCAAAAATCTACAAACAATAAATGATGGAGAGGGAGTAGAGAAAAAGGAACCATCCTACACTGTTGGTGAGAATATAAGTTTGTGCAGTCACTATGGAGAACAATACAGAAGTTCTTTTAAAAACTAAAAACAGGAAAAAAAAAAAAACCCCAAAACTAAAAACAGACCTACCATATGATCCAGCAATCCCACTCCTGGGCATGTATCTGGATAAAACCTGTAACTCAAAAAGATACATGCATCCCAATGTTCACTGCGGCCCTATTTACAATAGCCAGGACATGGAAGCAACCTAAATGTCCATCATCAGAGGAATGGATAAAGACGTGGTACATATATACAATGGAATACTACTCAGCCACAAATAAAGAATAAAATAATGCCATTTGCAGTGACATGGATGGTCCTAGAGCTTGTTATACTGAGTGAAGTAAGTCAAAGAAAGACAAAAATCATATGACATTGCTTATTAAAAAAAAATGGTACAAATGAACTTATAAAACAGAAAGAGTCACATCTATAGAAAACAAATTTATGGTGACCAAGGGGGAAAGCAAGGAGGGATAAACTGGGGGACTGGGATGGACATACTCACATTGCTGTATATAGCTAACTAATAATCCACTGTAAATCACAGGGAACTCTACTCAATACTCTAATGACCTGTATGAGAAAAGAATCTAAAAATGGGTGGATACATGGGTATGTATACCTGATTCACTTCACTGTAGAGCAGAAGCTAAAACATTACAGATCAACCATACTACAATAAAAATTGATTTTAAAAAAGAGACACTGGTGACTTGAACTAGAGAGTTAGTAGCAAAATGGAGACATCAGTAGGTATGGAGAAAAGTACATGGGTTTGAGATTTATTTTTGAGGTAGATTTATCAGACTGCTGATGGATAAAAGTTAGACTGGCCACAGATTACTTTCTTGGTAGGGAAAAAACTTTTTAAAATGTTAACAGAGCAACTGATAATCACTTTAGGTTTTCTAGCCAGCACATACAAGGATGTCTTATGGAAAGCTCTGGCAACTTGTTATTTTTATTCTATCTATAGTGCACTATTGAGAAACTATTCCTTTAGATAGAGAGGAGGACAATGTGATTTCTTTCACAGAATTCTGTCCTAACACCAAAAACAAATTCTGAACTCCTGCCAACCAGTTGAAATTCCATACGGAGCCCTCATTTCCGGATTCAATGTCCACAGTACCAACCACATCATGAGAATTTAATAAAATGTTTTTTGAGCTGAATGAAATAGCCTTCTTTCCTGGTTGAGCACCATAACCAGCTGTTTCAGGATCACATCACCTCTTATCAACCACAACATAATAAAGTAAAAAAAAACCATTGATCCTGTTTTTTAAATTTTTGCATGATACAGACTTGGCCCTTAATGGGAAAACCAAATACAAATGTCAACACGCCTCAAAGACTGCAATCTCAGTTAGGGGCCAGCAGCATTTTCACTAAGAACCTAAGAAAATTAAAGCCATTTGGAAAAACAGTCAAGGAAAGACTGTCAAGGAAAATCCTCAACAAAGAATAGTACAGGGAAACATTACCAGCTAGTAAAACCTTAGAAAAACAAATATTGAAAATGCAACACTGGTGAAGGAAGGTGACAGATGAGGCCATGAGTACAGAAAACACACACAGTCCGTTCTTCAAGTGGATGAGAAAGGGGTAACAGAACAATGGAAGAGGAATGGATGCTTGATGAAGGGTACAGAGGTTAAGTGATTAGCAAGCTGAGGGCTCACATCCTGAGTACACTCTCACATCACCTTTTCTGCTCAAAACCGTCCACACTGGCCAGCAGGGCCAAGCCTCTGGCTACTGTCTGGGGTCACCGCTCTCCCTGATGAGCCCCGCTCGAGGCACCCAGGCAGCCCTCTTTCTCAAATATGCCAAGTGCCCACCTACCCCGAGCTCTCACACTGGCCTCTCCTTTGCTTTCACTGCTCTTTTGCTCGAATCCCTCACCAGGTTCCCCCCCGTCCTTGGTCTGGCTCCCTTCTCAAGGTCACTTCAGAGCGACCTTCCCTTCCCTCTCTGCTTCCCAAAGCAACAGCCCCACTGATTCACCCTCTCTTCCATTCGGCCTGTTTTATTTTTCCGCACATCACTGCCTGGCATTGTACATATTTTTCGCTTTGCCTGTCTCCTCCCACCAGAACACAAGCTCCAAGAGCGTGGAGACAGTCAGATTTTGCTCACTTTTTGGTCACCAGTAACTACAACAGCAGAGACTCGGCATGTGTTGCATAAATGTGCCACAGATACACTAGTGGAGGACAGAATCGGATATGCCCCAACTACTGCCTAAGCTTAGTGGTTTTAGAAGAACTCAAAGAGGAGGACCAACAAGTCTGACTTAAAACATCTTTGTTTTAAAAGACTTGGAAAATCTAGTCATACAAAATATAGAAATTACCATTGTTCTTTATCACTGAAGGTTTGGTGGCATGGAGCACGTTATATTATATCCACACAAAATACTATGCAGAAGGCAAGCTATGAAAACCATGCTTCCAAGGACAATATGGAAAACCATTGATGCATAACATAAGTAGGATTTTAATATGTCAACTCTATTTACAAGCCATAAAAAAGAATGGTAGGTACTTTCTTAGGTGTTTGCCGGCCTGTACTTCTCACCATCCTCTGGACATCTTCTGCCCTTTCCACACCCCCGGGGGAAGACCCTAGGCAACAGCTCCTGTTGACTGTACCACTGGCAGACACTTCACACAAGGCGCCATCACACTGTCTCCCACTTAAAACTGAGGTTATGGTGGGAATGCAAACTAATACAGCCGCTATGGANGTAATTAGCCTCCAACTAATAAAAATAAAATAAAATAAAATAAAATAAAATGGGAAAATGTGGGGGGGGAAAAAAAAACCTGAGGTTAACGGATAACGATCCGCTAAATGTAGCTACTGGGCAGCCATCTTCCCTCATGTATGCTGGAAAACAAGAGAGCTCATCTGCTAAGAGACAGAAATGAGGGACCACACAGTGAAGAGACACATATACATACAGTGATTGGCAGCCCTCTTGGGGCCTAACAGCATCCTGTTTCCTGATTCCATCCCCTCTGATGGTGAACAGCATTTCCTTTTTTGAAATAGAGAGAGATACCTCTGTATTCTTATATTAGTATATGATCCTTCTTTTGCTTACACTCTCGAGTTGATATCTATTATTGAAAATTTTAAAACTCTAGTCTACCATAGAACAGCAACTAAAACCTAAATCTTTGGATGTTTGGGTAGAAGTGATTATACTTTTTCAGTGCCTTCATTTTCCTCATTTTGGCCACAAAAGAAGAAGCATGTTTTGCAACTTTAAAAAATGCTCAAAAATAGGTATGAGAATAAATTCGAATGGTATATAATATGCCAAAATACCCGAGGCTATATTGGAGTAATTTATGTTCTTTCTCTATTTTTAAAACTTCCTAAAATGTGGACACTATTACTCTTATGGTAGTAGAATAAGAAAAACTTTTTTTTTAATAAAAAAATGTTTAAAAAACTTATTTTTTCTTACTCTTATGGTAAGAAAAAATACTTTCTCAGAAAGCACCATCTTAACTTTTATAAAGAACACATTAACATCTTTTAACGGGCATGCTGAACTTTCCAAATATCTGTATCCACCTTCCATTCCTTTTAGAAGTTTACCCTTCAATCATTCTGTAAACTGCTGCTGCTGCTAAGTCGCTTCAGTCGTGTCCGACTCTGTGCGACCCCACAGATGGCAGCCCACCAGGCTCCGCCATCCCTGGGATTCTCCAGGCAAGAACACTGGAGTGAGTTGCCATTTCCTTCTCCAATGCAGGAAAGTGAAAAGTGAAAGGCAAGTCACTCAGTCGTGTCTGACTCTTCACAACCCCATGGACTGCAGCCTACCAGGCTCCTCGGTCCAAGGGATTTTCCAGGCAAGAGTACTGGAGTGGGTTGCCATTGCCTTCTCCACAGTAAACTGCTACTAACTTTCAAAGGTAATCATGATGATTCTTACCCGCTTCCAGCTTTATTATTTTGTTTTCATATTCTTGATGACACAAATTGGTAGTATCATCATTCTCAAGCGTGTATTTCCACTTATATTATAGGAATGTACCCATAAAGTGCTTTTTTAAAATTTTTTTTCTTTTTATTTGTCTATTTATTTGGTTGCACTGGGTCTTAGCTGCAGCATGTGGACTCTTAGCTGTGGCATGCAGGATCTAATTCCCCATCCAGGGATGGGAACTGGGCCCCCTGCAATGGGACCACAGAGTCTGAGCCACTAGACCACCAAGGAAGTCCCCCATAAAGTGCTTTTACGTGTTCAGTATGGTGTTAATATTGAAATAATGGCGTATCTATTATTCTACAACCTTTCTTTGCTCATTGTTTTATTTATCCACATTGATATAAGTAGCCCCTGTTCTATCGATTTTAGTATTACTGCAAGTATTAAAGCAAACCCCAGCTGATTTGAGCTGTTAGGCTTATGTCCACCTTTTTAATTTAGATAGAGCTGAAATACACATCATGGTACATACTCCCTGTATTTATGTGAATGCACTTTTTTCATGGAAATGAATTTTAAGTTCTATACCTCTATATGGATCTTTTAGTAATGTGATTTTCGCCATCTGTGTATCTTTGGTGAAATGGCTGAAACTTTTTAGAATTGGGTTATCTTCCTCTTAAGAGTTATAAAGGTTCTGTACATAACCTAGATAGAGGTTCACTGTTGTATATGCTTTGCCAATATTTCCTTCCATAAAATAACTTGCATTTTGATAACAGTGCCTATTGAAGAGGAAAATGTTCTAATTTTGACAAAGTCCAATTTATCAACATTTTATCATTCATACTTGTGTCATATTTAAGAAATCTTTGCAAAACCCAAGATAACTAAGATTTTCTCCTGCATTTTGTTCTACAGTTTTATGTTTTTAACTCTTATGTTCATTTCTTTGATCCATGTAGATTCTAACATTTACACATGATCCCCAAATTTGTATCTCCACCCAGACCCCACCCCCCTAGACTCAAAGTTCTTTTTCCAACTCTATCATGTGGATTACATAATTGTATTTCAAAATTGTAATGTCTTAAAAACCGAGCCCCTAATTCTTAGCAACTGTTCGCCTGCCCCTCCTACAGTCCTCCCCTTCTCAGGACTGTACATTCCAGCCCTGCAGGTCCACAGAAGGGGATGTGCAGCAGCCCTGCTGGGCTGTCCCCCACTGAATACCCAAGACATGCTCTGCAGCTTCTCTTGCGGTCACCCGGCGCTGCCACTGACACTGTCCTGGGTGTGTAAGTCTATCCTTCTCATTTGAGAGCTCCACATTTACAAACTTGCCTACTGTTAAAATTTACTTTAATCGCCAATCAATACTTGTGGCAATTTTCTGGCCATTCACAGACACATCCAGATTAATAAAAAATTTGAGTCTTCTGCCCACCTCTCCATGTTTCTACCCATCATGAACCCTGTACATTTGTCATTTTACTGCCTGTTTTTCATACACAAACCAGGTGTCTTCAAAGGCTGATTAAATAAACTTTTTTTTTTTTAAAGAGAAAAAAACTTGAGTCTTCTAATGCATTAGTTCCCTGAAGTGGAAAGGCTGATGCTCTGCCCTCTTGTCTCAGCTCTCAGACTGTAAACAAGAGTCCTCGTCACAGTCTACCTAGGGTCGCATTTTTCACCTTTCTTGCTTCTTGTTTCTGGTGATTTCACTGTTGAAACTGCCCCCCAAGCACAGCGATGAAGTGCTGTCTAGCGCGCATAAGCTCAAGAAGCCTGTGACGTGCCTCCCAGATAGAATACATGTTACAGGATCTTAGTTCAGGCTTGAGCTATGATGTTCCTGGTAGCAAGCTCAATATTAATCATCAATAATATACATTAAATAAGGTGCTTTTACACAGAGGCTCACATATTACAAGGTTACGTGTGATCTGTAGATGAAATGCTGTGACCAAAGGTTCATAGGAACCTCACTCTGTATTTCCCTTATGAGCAATGGTTCTGTATCCACTAATTCAGAGGTCCCAGCAACATTGTATTAATAGAACAAANTTACCATTCTTGTTCTTCAGATTAGGGTCTGCTCCACTTTTTAGAAGCTTCAATGCACATTGTTTATGAGCCCGGTAAGCGGCACAATGCAAGGGTGTGTTGCCTAACTGATCCGAACAGTTAACATCAGGAGGATTTGGCCGGTTGAGCTAACAATTGAAGAAATGCAATGTGAATTAAATGCCGAAGACAGACTTTCTCCCATAAAACCACATAACCGATAATTCAGGTGGACCCTCAGGCTCCTGAGCCTGGGCACAGCTGGGCTCCTTGGCATCTCGACTGTCAGTGGCTTTCTGCTCAGAAAAGCAGTAAAGCCACATCACCCTCCATGCTCTCCTCAAGCTGCCATGGGGCCTCAGGTCCACACTTCCCTGACAACAGACACCACACAACAGGCTGGGGCACTGGGATTCCACGAAGATCCACTCGCTCCTACCAGTCTTGCAATTCACACTCGTGACAACAGAATTGCAAACTGGTCTACCAAAGACAGCCATTCAGGAGAGTTAAAACCATAGATGTTAAATGTGGAAATGTTAAAGGTCTGCTGAATCTGCTGTTCCCGGCTGACTCCTTTAAAAACAATTCTTTACAGTCTCCATTTCAGGGAGTTTAAAAAACGTTTTAGGCCCCATACTTGGAAACCAGAGAAGCCTTTTCAAACAAGCTGAAATAACTTTAAGGCAAACAGCCATGCTTCAGTCTTGAATTTAGAACACATTCAGAGTTTTGTGTTTAATGAGACTATTTTCAGGGACTGGAAACTGAAAAGTAGGTCTCCTAAGGAGAAAAAAATAAAATGGGTAAAGTTTTTAGCCTGTTCAAACATGATATAAATATTTCAAAAATAATGTCCATTGTCTGTATGTTAATTTCTGGAAGTACAGCATACCTTTCAGAAGTAATTACTCATCAAAATTAGAGAAAGATATTCCTTTATAGGATTCTATACATTACATGTCAATTTTAAATTGGCTTAATCATTAAAAAAAACTATCCTTACATTAAATGTTTAAATTGAAAAAATGGATTCTTAGCCATTAGGTTTTCAGTACAAAGTGCGGAAGTAAATCAGAGAAAAACACCATCATGTAAAATGAATCCTGCTTAAAGTATCACCAGGCTGTGTTTTTAGATATTTAAAGACTTTTGTTCTATCACTTTGATCTCGAGTATTTTGGTCCCACAGTTTGACTACATTAGGAACTCAACATTAGATAGAAAATTTCCCGCAGCATAAAGAAATAACACATTTTTTTTTTTTACCAGAGCTGTAAGTTCTGCTGTTCTGCCTTCTCTTGCTGCTGCTAAAAGTAATTCTTCAAGCTTTCTTTGTTGAGTTCTTTCTACAGCTGCAAAAGGAAAAGTACATATTACTCTACTTCTAGGCTGGATCCTATTAGCAAATTTATCACAGAGACGTATAAAGAATAAAGGGATCATGGTGAGAAAAGTCACAATGTTTTGAATTGTAGTTCAAATGCTGTGAGACTTCATTATTATTCTCACTACCTTAGACTTCAGATTACAGAGCTGAACTTCCCTCACGTTCAGATGAATTTATGTTTTCAATTCAGAGGTCTTTAAGTATGTTACTCACTACAATACCCATCACAGATAATTATGAATTATTTTTTTATGCTGAAATATTATTATACATATGTGCCTTGGAAAGGCAGATTAAGTGGGGAGAGGCGCTCATATCTTCCAGAACTTTAGAATGTGAAAAGTAATAAGAAATAGTGTTAATAAGAAGACGTTGTTGTTGTTCAGTCGCTAAATCATGTCCAAGTCTTTGCAACCTCATGGACTGCACCAAGCCAGGCTTCCCTGTCCTTCACTGTCTCCTGGAGTTTGCTCATACTCATGTCCACTAAGACATACAAACCATATAAATATATTTAGGTTTATATATAAAGTACATATCTCTTATAAGAATATTTTATGTCCTTAAAAAATACTATAGCATTTACTACATGCCAAATACCTTCCAAAACACTTAAAAAATATTAACTCACTAAATCTGTGTAGCTACTCTTTGAAGCATTACTATTTTCCCCATTTTATAGCTGAAGAAACTGAGGCAGAAACTTAACCTACGGAACTTAACCTAAGTCACAGTCGAGACATGGAGGAGCTGGGACTTGAACTTGGGCAGGTGGGTTTCCGAGTACCTGCTCTTACCGTTACTCTGTGCTGCTCATACTTGCAGGGAATGGGAGCACTCTGATTTAAGAGAGTGGAATATGTAATAAGGTCTCATCTCTACTATATCTGAGTTCTGTTTTGGCTTGCAGAAAAGAAGCAATTTCATAGAAAGGTTAGCAATAATTCCCCCTAAAATATGTGTATAATGTCCTGTGCAAAGGCTGCAGGGGAGGAATATAAAAGTTTCGCAGGTCTTCCTGAGAAATAATGAACATTTATTAATAGTTAGTAATTACTATGCACTAACAGTTGTTCAAGACACTATGCATGCCCTTGCATTTCAACTACAGGAAACACAAAGCTTGAATACCGGAATAGCTGGAGCCAGTAGCTTCGTCTAAAGAGCTAACATTATTATACACCAGCATCTTCTATCCTCACATTTTAATTTCTACGCCCACATCCCCTCCCTTTCCATCTTGGAGGAAGGCTGCCAAGCCTCCACACAGGCTCCCAGTACTGCCTTCTTTTGCTGGAATGCATGCTCTTCAGCCTTTCCTCTCACTGGCTGTATGGCCACCGGTCTGTGAGCTTTTGAGAACAGTCCCTAGCCTTCCCTACATACCTCTGCTACTGCATGTAGTTCCCAGAGCTGCACTTTATCCCCACAGTCATTCCTGGAGTCAGGTACCTGTTCTTACTCTTCTGTGCATCCTAGGCACTTATAACAGTACGACACAGTGCATGTTCAGCCAGTAAACAGTCTCTGAATAATCAAACAATGCTTAATAATGATCATTCTAGACTTTAAGGAAGGGTCGTTATGCTCCCCTACGATTTCCCTCTAGATTGCCTAGGCTCATAAATGAAGGAAAACAGGATCTGGAGTTGAAAACTCGGCTTATGTTCCTGTCCTATATTCATTCTGGACACCGAAAAAAAGACTGTTGGTCCAGCCAATAAAACAAGTACTCCAGTTTAAGGGACTTAAAGTTTCTAGAGTGCCAGTAATATTCTACTCCTTGATGTGGGTGCTGTTTACGTGGATATGTTCCCTTGTGAAAACAGCAAGCCATACATTATTAATGTGTACTTTTATACATTTTATACCTCAAGAAATCTTTTTAAAGCCAACACTCTACCCCCCAAATAATCTGTCCTTTAAATTTTAAATGTTATATGACTGTAAACTAGTTCTTTTCAATCAGAATTCATAGTTAGGGAAGACCACAAAGATCATGAAGCCTAACTCCATCCCGACAAGACACTCACATACACGCCCAGGGTAGGTTAAACAGCATTACACCTGAAATGCAGGTGAGAAACTAGCAAATATACTTCATTAACAAAAGAAAATCACCACTTTGCAATTTCTATAGTAATGAGTGATTCGGGCAAGAATTATCAGTGAATACTAAAATCATCAATTTGAAGTTTGTCGGTAATCAGGATACTTACCATGGTCTCAATTTTTCTTCCCAAGGATTATTTACTAATTACAAAAGTGGGACTATGTACTAAGTACCTTTACAGTGTACCACTAGTGATCAGAGATAATTTCACCAATAGTGGTGAAACTGAGGCAGAAACTTAACCTACGGAACTTAACCTAAGTCACAGTCGGGACATGGAGGAGCTGGGACTTGAACTTGGGCAGGTGGGTTTCCGAGTACCTGCTCTTACCGTTACTCTGTGCTGCTCATACTTGCATGGAATGGAAGCACTCTGATTCCACTCTGAGAGTGGAATATGTAATAAGGTCTCATCTCTACTATATCTGAGTTCTGTTTTGGCTTGCAGAAAAGAAGCAATTTCATAGAAAGGTTAGCAATAATTCCCCCTAAAATATGTGTATAATGTCCTGTGCAAAGGCTGCAGGGGAGGAATATAAAAGTTTCGCAGGTCTTCCTGAGAAATAATGAACATTTATTAATAGTTAGTAATTACTATGCACTAACAGTTGTTCAAGACACTATGCATGCCCTTGCATTTCAACTACAGGAAACACAAAGCTTGAATACCGGAATAGCTGGAGCCAGTAGCTTCGTCTAAAGAGCTAACATTATTATACACCAGCATCTTCTATCCTCACATTTTAATTTCTACGCCCACATCCCCTCCCTTTCCATCTTGGAGGAAGGCTGCCAAGCCTCCACACAGGCTCCCAGTACTGCCTTCTTTTGCTGGAATGCATGCTCTTCAGCCTTTCCTCTCACTGGCTGTATGGCCACCGGTCTGTGAGCTTTTGAGAACAGTCCCTAGCCTTCCCTACATACCTCTGCTACTGCATGTAGTTCCCAGAGCTGCACTTTATCCCCACAGTCATTCCTGGAGTCAGGTACCTGTTCTTACTCTTCTGTGCATCCTAGGCACTTATAACAGTACGACACAGTGCATGTTCAGCCAGTAAACAGTCTCTGAATAATCAAACAATGCTTAATAATGATCATTCTAGACTTTAAGGAAGGGTCGTTATGCTCCCCTACGATTTCCCTCTAGATTGCCTAGGCTCATAAATGAAGGAAAACAGGATCTGGAGTTGAAAACTCGGCTTATGTTCCTGTCCTATATTCATTCTGGACACCGAAAAAAAGACTGTTGGTCCAGCCAATAAAACAAGTACTCCAGTTTAAGGGACTTAAAGTTTCTAGAGTGCCAGTAATATTCTACTCCTTGATGTGGGTGCTGTTTAAGTGGATATGTTCCCTTGTGAAAACAGCAAGCCATACATTATTAATGTGTACTTTTATACATTTTATACCTCAAGAAATCTTTTTAAAGCCAACACTCTACCCCCCAAATAATCTGTCCTTTAAATTTTAAATGTTATATGACTGTAAACTAGTTCTTTTCAATCAGAATTCATAGTTAGGGAAGACCACAAAGATCATGAAGCCTAACTCCATCCCGACAAGACACTCACATACACGCCCAGGGTAGGTTAAACAGCATTACACCTGAAATGCAGGTGAGAAACTAGCAAATATACTTCATTAACAAAAGAAAATCACCACTTTGCAATTTCTATAGTAATGAGTGATTCGGGCAAGAATTATCAGTGAATACTAAAATCATCAATTTGAAGTTTGTCGGTAATCAGGATACTTACCATGGTCTCAATTTTTCTTCCCAAGGATTATTTACTAATTACAAAAGTGGGACTATGTACTAAGTACCTTTACAGTGTACCACTAGTGATCAGAGATAATTTCACCAATAGTGGGACAAAATGACATCATGTACCTAAAATGATGCATTGATATAAAGCATACAACCTCATTCTATTTCAACTACAACCCATGCCAAAAACAGATAGCTTAAATCTAATTATATGAGAAGAGAAAAGCCCAAATTGAGGGGCACTCTACAACAGTAATATTATGATATTGATGTTACATCTCATGAAGTTGATCATTATATAAGGAAATATCCTTGTTCTTAAGAGATACATACTGAAGTATTTAGAGCTAAAGTATCATGTCTGTAAATTACTCCCTCACAGTGTAGGGAAAAAATTAAAATAAGTAACATTAAATAATATAAACCAGATGTAGCAAAATGTTAATAACTGGTGACTAAGTGCAGATGTACAAGTGTTTGTTGTACACTTGAAACCTTCCTTGAAGGTTAGATATTTCTCAAAATAAAAAAAGTCAAATGATAAGAAGAGGATACTAGAGTCCTCTCTAGTGCCTGAGAAGTTGTAATCTATCCTCTCCTAGGATTAGAAGTGTTTGGGAAGCTCACTACCTTTTAAGGCAACCCAGGCCACTATTACAATAGACTGGACCCAAAGATAAACTCCCTGGCACTCCATTAACTAGATCATCAACTGGCCCTGGTCGGCCTCAAATAAGAATATCCATCTTCCAATGTAACAGCTCTTGAGGTACTTGAGTATGATTGTTGTGTCTACTGAAGTCTGTCCTTCTGGGGTGAAACATTTCTTGTCTCTACATGCATTACCCTATGATAGTGTTTCTGGTCTACCTGTGGTCTTGGTGGGTTGTGGATGCACTCCCTGTAGTCTGACCCATTTATCATGCTCTCCACAAATGATATCACACCTGGCTAAAGGAATCAGAGCAAAATCTCTCAATTTCTACTTCCACTTCCCCAGCCAGGATCATACTGTAGCTGATAAATCATAGAGCCCATAAGTCAACCAAACTCTTGCCCTTAACACAGCTTGGTTGTGAGGGTGTGAGGTCAGGTGCTTAGAGCATGTCTTTACAACAAGCCCCATTAACTGTCAACTTGTCACGCAAGCCCAGTATCCCAGTCCATCAGGAGACCATCAGTTCTGGATTCTCATCTTATTACAAACAAAATGACAGGACAGTCATTACAAACACTCATTACAAACAAAGACAGTACTCATCCTCCCAATCAGATCATGATTTACTAAATGGCAGGGATCACATCTAGCATGTTCAATCGCCGCCAAAATCACATAATACCGAGCCTTATAGAAGATGCTATGTGTTGATTTCTTTATTAAAAATGAAAGGGTTCATTTTAAAATCAAGAGCAAGTAGAAATACTGATCTAAAAAGTGTCTGACAAGCAGACATAATTAGAGGAACAGGGAGATTTTAGGTTTCAAGGCCAACTGGGAAGCAATAAGAAGCAAGACTGTGCTTACATAGATAAAAATACTATAATAAATAAGTAAATGCCCTTCAAATAAAACATTATCATGCCCTCCTCTGAACTGCAAAGGAAAGAAACAAAGGATGTGTGTGAAACTGCAACTTAAAATTCAACACCTTTATTTATAAGGGAGTAAATAAGAAATTTTCCCTTCTCTCCTACAGAAATACTACCCAAAAATAATTACAGTCAAAGCCCTGGATATCTGGGTAACAATCCTAACAAATGAAGCTTCCTGATGTAAGCATTGAAATATTTTTGTCTTAAACTATTTTTAGAGAAATCCCTCCTATGTCTTCTTAAATGTAATTGAATCTTTGAAGTTCATCCAGCAATGAAGCTGATCCATGAAGACGTTACTGGCCGTTGTGCTACAATGATGCCCTCAGGATAACAGCGGCCAGAGCGCTCTCTGCCAGAATCACGTGACTCCCAGGAGCCACACACCTAGAGTTTCCCTGCTCTGGGCTCCTGTATTCCTTCATTATCACACTTCTGCAGCCTTTCAGCTGTACCCTCTCATGTCTCTAATTTTTACTTTTAATTATGCTGGAGACTGAATTTTTTAAACTTGCCATAATGTTATATAAAGTAAAAATTCAAAAGCCCTGAGGAAGCTCTCAGACAGTTTCACATCCAATCAATGACTCTCAAATTACACTATCTTTAGAGCACAGGCTCAGGCACCTATTTTGGCATCTCAGAAACCATCTTCTACTTATATCCTGGGCTGTGGCTATAATGAAGATAAGTGCTGTTTAGAGTAAGATCCGTAATATTTTACCTTCAAGCATGTTTCTGATTTCTTTGTCATGAGTGACCTCCTTTGCTGTCTGGCCATTCCCATTAACAGTAGTAGTATCAGCGTTGTACTCTAAAAGAAGCATTACCAACTCCTGAAACAGCAGAGAAATTATTTTTAGCTATTATTAAACTAAAACTTTATTATAGCCCTTTTTCAAAATTCTAATTACTACTGAATGTTTACAATAGAAACAATGACTATGTAGGAATCTTTAACGTCTTTCAGCTCTGTTTAAATGCCTACTAAGTAAGCATCATAAACGGAATACTCTACAGTTCAACTAAGTGTGATAACTGATGACTGCCTACACAGTTGCCAATCTCCAATTAACAGAGACAACTTCTGTAATTGATTTTTAAAGTAAATTATCTGGTTGTTTTACCAAATTGATTCATGTGGTCACGCTAAATATGAGTTTAAAAAGCCATTACTTAAAGTAGTAATTTAAATTAGATAATTAGAGCAGACAATACATTCATTTAACATTATTACAAGACCTGTTGAAAAAAAATTCTTCAGCAGACTTAGATCTTTTAAAAATTAATTTTAATGTTTATAAGAAACAAGACACAATTTTCTGAAGTGATATAGACTGATGGGATACAACACTAACAAAGGAATGGGTTATAATGAAGGAAATGACCTCCTGAAGTCAATTTTCAACAGAGTACAAACAGATGGAATATAAACTACATCATTCATATTTACTCTAAGTGGCTAACAGCTCTCTTAGGAATTTCAAACTAATCAGTCCAGTATCACTGGTTCGGTTATATAACTTAAGACAGTATAGGTGGATGAGAGTGCAAGAGATTTACAGGAAACTATTAGAGATTTGATGTTTAATTTCACTAGGGTGTGTAGCACTCAGGCAGGGGATGTGGTAACACTTGCTTTTTAGTTCTACAAGAAGACAGGATGAAACACAGTGCTACCCTAACCTCGAGGATGACAGTACACTGATACCCATAGGAAATGATATTCTGTGTCATTACATGTTATATTTTCCTATGAGTTTCATTTTTACACTGGGCCACACAATTTTCACCATTCTTTAAAAAGAATTTTTTGTAGTTAAAAAAAAAAACCCTTAAATATACATCCAAACACAGACAGGAAGAAGAAAACAAAATACTCATTGTCCTGGTCACTCCATGACCACCATAAACATTTTGGTAGGTTTCTTTCTAATCATTTTTCCCATGCATAAGTTTGAGATTTTTCAAAAAAATATAATTTTATCTGTGTGACATAATTAAGTTATATCCCACTTGCCTAATATATCATTTTCTAGGCTATTACAGTGTTCATGAACATACTTTTCACTAAATGTTATTCTATAAAATCTACCACCACATTTTACAAATAGAAAAATTGCTAAGCAGTCTAATATGTTAGTAAATTCTTATAAAATATCTTAGCATTTCCTATCTTTTTAAAGGAAAGATTTTGGGAGAAGTGTTTTCATGCTTCATGCAAAGAGTTCATATTAGTAAAGAAAAGTAGAACATGGAATGACAGAAAATATTTATAAATCATATCTGAAAAGGAAACCACATGCAGAATATATAAAGAACTTTTTACAACAATAAAAAGATAATCCAATTAAAAAATGGGCAAAGATAAAATGAACAATCAGAAAAGGAAATTAAGAAAAATGATTCCATTTACAATGGCATCGAAAAGAATAAAATGCTTTGACGTAAACTTAAGCATGGAGATGAAAGATCTGTACACTAAAACTACTAAATATAGCTGAAAGAACTTAAAGAAGACATAACTAATCGAGAAGACATCTAGGAGTCATGAATGGGAAGACAATACTGTTGAGATATGAACACTACCCAAAGCAATCCACAGATTCAACGCAATCCCTATCAAATCCCAATGTTTTTTTGTCCAGAAACAGAAAATCCCACCCTAAAATTCACATGGAATCTCAAGAGACTCCAAATCACCAAAACAATACTGAAAAAGAACAAAGTTGGAGATCTCACACTTCCAGACTTCAAAATTTACCTCCAAACTGATCAAAGTAATCAAGACGGCACTATAATGGCATACAGACAGACATACAGACCAATGGAAGAGCACAGAGTGCCCAGAAATAAACTCACATGTGTTCAAATGATTTCTGACAAGGGTGCCAAAACCATTCAAAGGGAAAAGGACAGTCTCTTCAACAAAGAGTGCTGGGAAAAACTGGATACTCACATGTGAAAAAATAAAACTGGACCCACATACTTTACACCACATACAAAAATTAACAGAAAATGGATGAAAGACTTAGTGGAAAACTTAAAAACTCTTAGAAGAAAACATAAGAGGAAGCTACATGACATTAGATTTAGAAATGATTTTTTGGATACAATGCCAAAAACATAGGTTAAAAAAAAGAAATAAACTGGACTAAATCAAAATAAAACAATTTCTACAACTAATAGCACTATCAAGAGTATGAAAAGGCAATCCAGAGTGGGAGAAAATATTTGAAAATCATGTATCTGATCTAGGATTTATATCTAGAGTATGTAAATAACTCCTAAAACTCAACACCAACAAATCAATCAATTTTAAAAACAAGCAAAGAATCTGAAAAGGTCACAATACTGTATGATTCCAACTACAGGACAATCGAGAAAAGACAGAACTATGGAGACAACAGGAAGATCAGTGGTTGCCAGGGGCTGGCGTAGGAGGAGGGATGAACAAGGGGAGCATGGAGGATTTTTAGGGCAGTGAAAACACTGTAGTGACAGACACATTTCATTACATTTTTCTCGTTGCACATACAGGAAGAGTGAACCCTAGAGTACAGTACGGACTTTGCGTGGCTGCGGTGTGCTAGTGCAGGATCATAACTTGCTTTAAGGGAAAAAAGTAGAAGGACCACACTGGTGAGGAAGGTTGATAATGGGATGCATGTGTGTGACCACAATATACGTGAGAAATCTGTATCTTCCTCTCAATCTTGCTGTGAGCCTGAAACTACTCTACAAATCTGTCTTTAAAATTAAAGAAATAAATAAATATATGGGCAATGGATTCAATAGATTATTTCTCCAAACAAACATGGCCAATAAGTATATGAACAGATGCTCAATAAATCATTATGGAAATGCAAATCAAAACCAAATGAGATACCATTTCACGACCTTTAGGATGCCTAAAATTAAGACAGACAACAACAAGTGTGATGAGGATGTAGAGAAATTGAAACCTTCACACGAGGCCAGTGGGAATGTAAAATGGCATAGCTGCTTTGGAAATCAGTTTCGCAGCTCTGCAAAATATTCAACAAAGAAATACCATGTGGTGTGGCGATTCTACTCCTAGATACACACACAAATGAAAATATATGTCCATGACAAAAATCTTGTACATGAATGTTCAAAGAATATTCATAATATCCAAAATTGGACAACCCAAATGTCCATCAGCTGATGGCTGGGTAAATAAAATGTTATATCCATACAATGGAAAGCTGTGCTTAGTCGCTCAGTTATGTCCGACTCTTTGCAAACCCTGGACTATAGCCCGCCAGGCTCCTCTGTCCATGGAGATTCTCCAGGCAAAGAATACTGGAGTGGGTTGCCATGACCTCCTCCAGGGGATGTTGCCATGACCTCCTCCAGGGGATGTTCCCAACTCAGGGATCGAACACAGGTCTCCTGCATTGCAGGCGGATTCTTTACCAGCTGACCTAGCAGGGGAACCCTTAGAATGGAATATTATGTGGCAACAAAAAATGAAGTACTGATATACATTATAATCATGAATGAGCCTTGAAAACATTATGCTGAATAAAAGAAGCCAGTCACAGAAAGCCATGTACTATATGCTTCCATTAATGTGAAATGTCTAGAATGCGTAAATCCAGAGAGACAGTAGATTAGTGGTTGCCAGAGCCTGGGGAGAAGGGGTAACAGGGCATTACAGCTCATAAGTACAAGATTTCTTTTTGGGGTAATCCAAATGTTCTAAAATTGATATGTGTTGATGGTTGCACATGTCTGTCAACATACCTGAATCACTGAATTGTATATGGGTGACCTGTAAAATACATGAAATAGGTCACAATCAAGTACCTAAAGAAAGAGAGCAGAGATTCTTCAAGCCAGGTACCACATGGCACATTCAAGTCAATGAATGTTATTTCTCAACACACCTCATCTAATTGTTTTATACAATCTCTGCAACTGCACCAGTATTCTAGTAATTAATTATCCCAATTTTCAAGAAAGTATAAGAACTAATGTGGTAGACTTCCTGTTTGGGGAAATTAAAATGAAGGAAGTCTTGTTCAGGCTTCAGAGGCAGAAGAGCAGACCTCTGACCTTGCTTCTGACCAGCCTGAGCAGTGCCCATGTTCTGTACCTCCCGAAAGCACAGTTAGTCAGGCAGCAATTTCTTTTTTAATTTTAATTTATTTGACTGCACCAGGTCTTAGTTGCAGCACGTGGGATCAAGTTCCCTGACCAGGGATCAAACCCAGACCTCCTGCATTGGAAGCATGGAGCCTTAGCCACTGGACTACCAGGGAAGTCCCCGGGCTGCATTTTAAATAAGAAAGGTAGTGGGTCTTGGAACTCTTGAGTCCCTGGAGGCATGCCAACAGGGGTTTAATGATATCCTGTGACTCACAATTTAGTTCAGTCGTTCAGTCACATCCGGCTCTTTGCGACCCGATGGACTGCAGCACACTAGGCTTCCCTGTCCATCACCAACTTCCGGAGCTTGCTCAAACTCATGTCCATTGAGTCGGTGATGNGCTTGTGCTTCATCGAGCCCAGCATTTCAAATGATGTACTCTGCATGTAAGTTAAATAAACAGGGTGACAATATACAGCCTTGACGTGCTCCTTTCCCAATTTGGAACCAGTCTGTTGTTCCATGTTCAATTCTAACTGTTCCTTCTTGACCTGCATACAGATTTCTCAGGAGGCAGGTCAGGTGGTCTGGTATTCCCATCTCTTGGAAGAATTTTCCACATTTTGTTGTGATCCACACAAAGGCTTTGGCATAGTCAATAAAGAAGAAGTAGATTTCTCCTGGAACTCCCTTGCTTTTTCGATGATCCAACAGATGTTG